CCTTGGCGAGCAGGAGGCTGTAAAGAAGAGAGGGGTCATTCCTCTGGCTCTCTTACAAGCAAGATCGGTGTTAGTGAGAAATCCGGAAGAGAAGCCCCGCCGCCATTTGAAATTGGAGCGCAGCGTCTGTGTAGAGGAGAAGGGAAACGACGGTACTACGTGTCTGCGCTTTACAGAGAACTATATATTTTATCGGGAACTGCATATGGAAACAAGAGTTTGAAACGCGAGTTTTGAGGACAATTTAAAGATTTGGTAAGAGTTGGTGCGGACCTGGGACAGGAGTGGGGGTTAATTTGGAGAGCTTCTGAGGACCAAAATGGAGGATATGAGCTGTGCCTGAACCTTCCCCCTCCCGGCTCCCCTCCCCCCCATTATATATCTGCCGTGTTTTCATCTCTACCTAACCCCCCCTTTTGTTAAACCTCCTGAAGTTCATGTAATCTCTGGACTAAGTAGTAGGTGGACTAGCTGACTGGGAGAAGGGAAGAAGCATCTGCTTCTGGAAACCTCAGTTTGCTGCGGGGAACATCATATATCCAAAGGAACTATCTTTGTATTAAAAACATACATTGATTGACAAATAAGATCACGATCGGGACTGCGAGGATCTGCTAGGAACCAACTTTGCTGCTTTGGATTGTTGTATACGGGTTTATGGTTTACTGTTTACAAATCTAAAGGCTACCGATCTCCGTCTTGGAGAAAGCAAACAGGGTATGAGAGGTAAATCATAATAAGGAAAGAAAGTGAACGCAAGGAAACTGCGGGAGGGACTAAGAAAGACAAACTTGGGTGGAAAGGGACGGTGGGGAGAGGGACTATATAAAATACAAGATGTCTCACACAGGGAAGAAGGGAACGAATGGGGGAACACCAGGAGAGAGGAGAGGCTCTAAACAGGAGACAGACTTTAAGTCAGATATTCTGAAGATGTTTGCAGAGATCAAACAAAGTCAAGTTAATGTTGAACATAAGTTAGAATCGGTGGATAACAGAATTGGGAAATTAGATAAAAAAATGGAGGAAACTGTGAATGAAATCAAGGGCCAAATAAAAGAAATATTTAGGAGAACGCAGCTCACAGAAGAAGGTTTGAAAAAGACAAAGGTGGAGCTAAGAGATGTTAGAAGAGACAAGGAAAAGATCAAATCAGAAGTGATGGAAATATGTAAGACACAGGAAGAGATAAAAGACATTATAGCAATGAACGAATTGAGGCAGAGGGAGGCAAACCTGAGGCTGAGAGCAGTCCCAGAGACACAGAATGAGAATATTAAAGAAAAATTGACGAAGGAGCTAGCAGATTGGATGGGCTTGTCTGTAGAAGAAATGGCCAACAGTATATTAAATGCATTCAGAATGCGTGTCAACGCAACAAAAGCAAAGAAATTTCCAGGCGACTGTCTGATTACATTTAAAAACAAAGTAATGAGGGACAGGATCCTCCAAAGGAATAGAGAAAAGAGATTGAATATAGATGGAAACTATATAATTATTTTTAAAGATGTCCCAATAAGATTGCTTAAAAAGAGAGATTCTTATAAACCTTTGGTGCAAACATTGAGGAAAATAGGGTTGAGTTTAGGTGGGAATTCCCGGAAGGGATATCATTTACATATAGAGGTAAAAGACACAAGTTGACAAATTTTGAAGAAACCAGGAAATTCCTCAGGAAATACAAGGAACTTAAAGCGGAAGTTCAGGAAATAGGAAAAGCGGAGAGAGCCTCACCAGGAGAACTAAGAGTGTTAGAGGAGGGGGAGGAGGAGGAGAGCGGGTCAGGAGAGGAAGAGGAAAAAGAAGAGGAAACAGAGGACTTAGAAAATATACAATAGATAAGAAAACTTTAAAGAATAATAAAAGGAAAATACAGGGGCTATGGGGTTAAAAATCTGGAATTGGAATGTTAACGGGATGAACGACAAAAGAAGAGAAATAAAATCGAACAATGTTTGAAAAGGAAAAACCTGGATATTATCTGTCTCCAGGAGACGCATGTGGCCAGAAAACACAGAAAAGTGTTAATTAATAAATGGCTGGGAATGAGTATGAAGCCCTGGACAAGGTAAAAAAAAGAGGTGTGGTATTGTACATCAGTAATAAGATAGAAGCTAAAACAATGTTTAAAGATGAGGAGGGAGGGATGATAGCGGTTAACATCAACTGGCAGGGGAAAAAACTATTGTTAGTGGGGATATATTGCCCCGAATGGCAGCAAAAACTGAATTCTTTAAGAAACTAGAAGAAAAATTAATGGAATATGCCGATCAAAAAATAATATTAATGGGGGATATGAACGCAGTTGTTTCACTTGAGATGGACAGACTTAGAGACAGAGCAAATAAAGAAGGGAAGTTACCAAAATCTTTTTTCTCTATGGTGGAAAAATGCGGGTTAGTGGATATTTGGCGCTTGAGACACCCGCTAGAAAAGCAATTCACCTTTTATTCAGAACCCAACCAATCTTTTTCTCGATTAGATCAGATCTGGATTTCAAAAGAACTGTGTCCAAGAATTAAATCTATAGAAATAAGACCAAAAGTAATGTCAGACCATAACCCATTAGAGATGGAATTGGAAAGTTTTGAGAAAAGATCTTATAGATGGAGATTAAAAGATAATCTATTGGATGACCAAGAGGCGGTGGAAATGGCAAAGAAAAAATTGACAGAGTACTTTAAGGATAACTGCGGTAAAGGAACAAAAGAAAATATAGTTTGGGATGCAGGTAAGGCGGTCATAAGAGGATTTTTTATTCAACAGAATGCAATTAAAATAGGAATAGAGAAAAAAATAAAGAGGAAATTCTAAGACAAATAATGACAAATGAACGAAAATTAGCTCAGAACCCAACTGTCTAAAAATAAAGGAAGAATAAAAATCCTTCAATCCCAGTTTGCCACAATAATAAACAGGGAGGTAGAATGGAACATAAAAGACTCAAACAAAGAAACTTTGAATTTGCTAACAAACCAGGCAAATGGCTTGCCTGGCAAATTAAAAAAAGGAAAGAACAAGGGATAGTCAATAAAATAATGGTAGAGGGGGAAGAAAGAACTGACCCTAAAGGAATAAGGAGTGAGTTTATTAGTTACTATAGAAACCTGTATAACGATCAAGAAAGGATAGGACAAAGGAAGATTAGAAAGATTTTTGAAAGAAAAAGGAGGACAAAAATCTCAATGGAAGGAAACAAAGATTGACACACCTATTGAAAACAAGGAAATAGAGGAGATAATCAGAGATTTAAAGAGGGAAAAGCCCCAGGTCCGATGGATTCACGGCCGGCTATTATAAAGAAATGAAATCAGTCCTGGTTGAACCTCTGAAAAAGACAATGAATATAATATTAAAGAAAGGGGAAATCCCAGAAACCTGGAAAGAGGCGTATATTACATTCCTCCCCAAACAGGATTCGGATCTACTCAAGTCAGAAATTATAGACCAATCTCATTGTTGAATGTAGACTATAAGATATACACAGGAATCCTGGCAAGAAGGTTAAAAGATGTATTAGCAGATGTTATTCATAAGGACCAGCAGGATTTCTGCCAGGTCGGCAGATGAGAGACAATATAAGACATATT